CTCAAGCGGTTTGTCAAACCTTCAAACACCCCATAGACAGCACAAATTGCTTGAAGCAAAGGGAAATTTCGCTTGGTTTGTCAAGCCGCTTGTGTTGTGTATTTCGCTCTTTACCGGTTCTGCAAATACAGTTTTCCTCTGCAAGCAGGTAAAGTGTATTCAGCTACGCAAAAATCAAGTGAAATTTGTGGCAGAGATATCGAACCTCGACACACTAGTCTTTTTAGACCGTCTGAAACCGGGCGAGAAGGGCAGAGAGTAGTAGTTCACCTCAGCCTCTCGCCCATGAAAAACCGTTTTCAAACGGCCTGAAAATACTAGTGTGTCGAGGCTCATGAAATATGTTCGATAAGTCTCTGTATACGATTACTTTGAAAATAAATTAAATACTCATAAAATCGAGTGTGACTCGAAATTTTATAGTAACTACCGATTACTGAAAAATCGCCATAACTAATAAAACATATGATCTGTTCATTTGTGTGTAAACATCCTTGTTGTTGAATCGCTATTTGTTATTTGTATAAATATAGCTAATTATTGACGAAGCATTATTCTTGATTCTAAAGTAGTTTGGTATTTTTGCAAATTTCTTGTTAGTTATAACTTAGTGAGTCACCCTGCGTATTTTTTCTTGGGGATCTGGGATCTTTAGAATCAGTTCATCGACTCTCCGCTCACTAGTGCTAGGTTAACGAAATAAAAATACTTGAACAACCTGGCATTATATGGATCAGGAGTGATTAAGAAAAAAAAGTTAAATAAAAAAGATGAGTTCGAGGTCTGGAAATTGAACAAATGCACATAAAGGCAAGTCAATAAACCTCGGACACGACAGTCAGGTCTACGTAACCGGAACGACCCAGATTTATATTTGGCCAAGGACTGTCAGTCCAGCAACACTCCCCAAAAACTCTTTTGGAGCTTGTATGCTGCTACAACAACAACAACTAGATATATGAAACATGTTTGAGTATGGTAAATAAAATAGTGTCAAGTAGCAATAGCACACACATAACTTTTCTCAATTTTAGACTGGGATACATTTTCCCCGCAGGAAGCGAAAATAAACACCAAAGACATTGACTCAAAGAGTACAACTTTTAAAAGAAATGATAGCCAAGTTCAGAGTGAAACGAACGACCCAATTTCAACCGGAAAAAGTAGCATACATTCAGGGTGTAATTCAAGCTTCCAAGAAGGAAACGAACTCTCATTTGAATATCATCTTAACATTGACACTGTTTGCAGAACGTGCTTAAAAAAAATTGATGCAAGCATTCCGAACACATCCACTATTAAATCGTATTATCAAATTTTTGATACTGCAAATCTCGCTAAGAAACTAACCTCCTGTACATCTTTAAAAATTGAGCAAACGGATAAGTATCCCAAATACTTGTGCAACAGTTGCTTCAACAAAGTCAATGATTTTTACCAATTTCAAAGCATGTGTGTGGAGTCGATGCAGCAATTTTGCCAAATGTTCTTGGTTCCAGTCAGTCAAATTACTTTTGATACCGAAGTTCCTCGAATTAAAACAGAACTTAACTGTGATGACCCACTGCATTCTGAAGAGTTTTGTGATTCCATCGAAGACGCGAAACAATCATCATGCTTTGTTGATAACTCTAACTCAGTGATAGAAAAAGACCAGCTACCATTAGGTGATACCAACGCCTTGATGCAATGTCAGGTTGAATACAGGGATAATAATAGTTTACTCCAACCACTTCGGCACGCACTATTCCAAGAGAAAAATGTAAGTATCGCGGGTTTTGTTAATCCTGATATATTAGTACTTAATACTTATTCTACAGAGTAAAAAGGAGGGTACAATAGAAGAAAGTTTCCAAAATAAAATGGATGAACTACTAAGGCGCCAAACGGAAATTGTGAAAATTGTTGCAGAGAATAATGTTCTATTGCGAGAAAGTTTAGGGATGTCTTCTGTCTCTTCCATCAAATTCCCATTAGAAACGGATGATAAGTTGGAAGAACTAGAAGCGCGACTAAAAGTGGAAAGCAAGGCAGAAATTGTAAGCCCAAAAGCCTTCAAAAATATTAAAAATCCATAAAAAAAAATAAGCAATTTAAAAATTTTTAATATTCGCTTACAGGTTGGTATTCTTAGAAGAATAACTTGCGGAAAAATAAAGGGTATTGATGCCATTTTTGGAAAGCAAGTAGTTATGGGCTTCAATTATAACGGAGATAAAGGCAAAAAGCCTTTAAAATTTTTCAAAAATTTCCTAAATGCTCTATACGGTAGGCGATTACCTAAGGATCCATTTGTGAAATTGTTTAACGAATTATTTTCTTTCTTATAGAAGCCACCTACGAAGAGGGCAGAACTTTTGACGAATTTTTAATAAGTCTTCGGCAAGAATTTAAAAGAGTGAAAAATCGCTTTTGTAAACAGAAGAGTAGAAAGAACAACCGTTAGCATGTAACTTATAGTTTATATTGCACACCTGCATCTAAAGTGAGCTAACTAAAAAATCATACCGGACATTATAACTGCTTGTGAATCGTACAAATTCAACGCAATTAATACAAAAACGGGTACAACGGTAGTTTTTTAGTTAGAGTATGTAATAATAAAAAAATGCATTACTTGGAGGTATGTCCTATGAATTGATTTATGCAAAAAATCGTCCTAGGTGTGCGATATGTACTATTCAGTATTAGTTAGTTGTAAGGTATTATTATTATTTAACAGATACTACGAACAAAAATTTCACAATGTTTGTAAAGTTAAGTATAGGAATAAAATCACAACTAAAAATTACTTCACTTTACTAGACAATAAATTATTTGTGTTTGTTAATCACTCTTAACATTTGTCATATAAAAGGTAACGAATAAGGCTAGTTAAAATAGTGTAACCCACGCGAAAGTTCACAGAGATTGTAGGTTGGTTACAGGGCAGCCTTGGTAAGTAGTTATAATTCAACAACAATAAACTGCTAAAAATAAAAGTCATAATATCCAATAAAGTGTGAATACCTACTGTAATTGTAGGCATAAAGCCGCCTGTTCGACTTGAAGTAGAAGAATAGGGCGAAGAAAATTAGAATTTGTAATCAACTGTGTCCGTTATGAAGTGATACTAATTTCTATAAAATAAGGTAATACATATTGCCCAATTTAATATCTAATATTTTTAAATACAAACGACGAGGAAATTAAAAGTAGCTGTTTGTTTATACCAAATCTCTCTTTTTTTGTGTTCAAAATCTCTGCGTTATTTAAACTCGTAACCTTGTCTAGTAATTGTTTACTAGCGAGAAATTTGATTTTTTGCTTATAGTCACAACCCTTTAGCACGGAATCTACTACGTCATAGAACTGTGCATATACATATAAATATGTGTGTACAAATCTGCACTATTATGTGTTTACACATATACATATATATGTATTTACACAACTACAATAACATGGAAGTACTAACTGAATTTTTTATTTCTCTGTGTAATTTGGAGTTAAGCCAATTTTGATACCGGCCGCAACAGTTCACTACGAAACTCGATCGCGCTCAGTACATTTTAGCCGTTGCCGTCTAACTCATCTGCAAATATACGCTCCTAAAAGGCATATCACACATACATATATATATATATATATATAAATAAGTACATATATGCACATTGATATCGGGTATCCGAAAAATTGAAAAGCTGAGCATGTGATAAAACTTAAAGAACTTTTTACTTTTGATGTTATAACGTTTATATTTTTCAAGTTACCAAAGTGTGTACGCGTTTTACATTAGATATTCGTACTTT